AGGAAGAGGTAGAGGGGGAAAGAGGAGTGAGAAGGAAATAAAAATAATTTGTACATGTATATACTTTGTACATCAGCCAATAAAAGTAATATATCAGCCAATTGATGTCTAATATCAGTCAACATTAAAGACATTAATAAAAACGTATCAGCCAACAAAAGTAATATATCAACCAACAAAAGATACATATCATCCAGCAAGAGGAATGTATATGTCAGCAAGAGGAATATATATGTCAACAAGAGGTACTTATCAACCAAAAGGATGAAATCAGCAAACAAAAGCAACAACTAAGCCAACAAAATAAACATATCAGGTAACAAAATGAAACATATAAGGTAACAATTAAAACATATATATCAGCTAACAAAATAAATATATCAGCCAATGAAAAAAACATATAAGCTAAATGATGTCGATATAAGCCAACAAAAGGAACATATCAAAAATTTAAAAAAAAACATATCCGCCAACAAAAGGAAAATATTAGTCAAACAAAAACCATATCAGCCAACAAATGAAATATATCAACCAACACATAAAACATATCAGCTAACAAGCAAAATATGCAGCAGCTCGCACCCAATACCTTCTCATAGTTAAAATATCAATATTCAATATACTCCATATATAGTACTTCGTAGTAGTGAGTACTATGAGGTAGTTTTAGGGTACTATTGGGTTAATTAATTAATTTTACTATTTCAAACGTACATGGATTAGTTGTATCTAACACATTTACTATGCGACTAACTTAATTGAACAATCAGAGAGTCGTTAGAACATCAAAATTCAATTACTTGTATTAATACAATGGCTAATTTTAGCAAACATATCCAAATAATAAAAATTCTACTTAATTACGGAGTAAACAGTTAATCATATTTTATTACTTGTATAATCTAATGATCATACGTACATGCATGAGTACAGGAGCATACCTAAATTAGCACAGCATATGGTCCATACTTCCATAGCACTCATCTTATGCATGCGGCTGTACTGTCTAATTGTCCAAGTACTCTGAACTTTGGAGCTTAATATAGGAGTAAGTGGTACTTTATGAGCCACTTGTGAAATTAAGCTCGTCTATCAAAATCAGATCATTAATAATTCATCTTTGAAGAAATTCTATTTGTTTATAAAATTGTGCATCAGGATAATTTATTTGATCATCGCCGAAATTCCATTACTTAATTCATTAAATAATTATCTTATACGAGTACTTTGTATATGAAGTGGTCACACCATCATTTTATCAACTAAAAGTATGTCTTATAATCATTTAAGAACACAAAATTAGTATTTAATATAATTATCTAATACTAACATTAGTATAAATATTACTTTGTACTCTGTAGTATAAGATTTTATATTATTACTAATATTATAGTACTAATTTTATATTTCTCATCTTATAAGTATTTAATTTCCCTTTTCTGATAAATAAGGTGTCAAGATAATGAAAATAATTGAGCATCCTTTGATCCTTTCAATGGAAAAAAAAAATAAAAAATAAAAAAATGGTTAAACGGACCCACTAATTTAATAAAAGAGTGCACGGGCTGAGGTCCTTTCAATGTACGGAATGAATAACAAGACAATATGCTATTCCATATTAATGACATTATTTTTCAATTTTGAGAACGACTATATACCAAATTACTTGTGTTATCGTTATCTTTGATTTGAGTACGATTTAGTTTCTTAGCATCTCATGTCATTTTTATGAAATTGTGGTTGATGTAATTGTATTATCTTTATCTTTGATTTAAAGGTTTGTGTAAGTTTTGAGCACCATTTCTCAATACTTTAATCAGCTAAATTGTTTAGCATTCATAAGTTTAAAGATGTGGATTAGTTAGATTATATTCCATGCGCTCTCAAAAAAAAAATAAAAAAAATCCATGTGTGTAACTCAATATCATTATTGAGAAGCTATTGCGTGCGGATGTTCGCTTGCAAATTTCCGCGCGGCTGGCTTGACTGATATGTTCATGTGTTAGCTGATATGGTTTTTGTGCTGGCTAATATATTCTTTTTATTGGCTGATATGTTTTTTTTCCCTTTTGTTAGCTGATATTAGACATCATTTGGCTTATATGTTTCTTTAGTTGACTGATATCTTTATTTTGTTGGCTGATATGTATATTTTAATTGTTAGCTTATATATTTCATTATGTTGGCTGATGTATTTATTTTGTTGGCTTACCTGTTGCTTTTGTTTGCTAATTTCATCCTTTTGTTGGCTGAGATGCTTCATTTGTTAGTTGATATGTTCCGTCTCTTGGCTGATAAGTACCTTTTGTTGGCTGATATATTCCTCTTGTTGGCTGATATGTATCTTTTGTTGGCTGATAGACTGCTTTTGTTGGTTGATACGTTTTTTATTGATGTCTAATATGTCCATAATAATGACCGATATTAAACATCAATTGGTTGATATGTTACTTTTAATGGCTGATATGCGTCCTAATTTGTTGGCTAATATGATTAAAATATACAATATATTTTTATTTCCTTCTCACTTTTTCTCTACTACTCACTCTTATTCACAAAATCATGGGCAAAATCAAATCAGCCAAGATATTAAAGATTTTTATTTTGTTCTCACTTTATCTCTACTTCTCTCTCTTCTAATCCTATCACCGCCAACACAACCACTCTCCTTCCTGCCACAGCCCCCACCCACCACCTCCAAACTCACACCACTGCAGCTAACCATGTCCAACTTCGCACTACCGCAGCCAACCACCCGCAAATCGCACAAATTTAGTTGATTGTAGTAGACGAGCTGGGTAACCTTGAGGGCGAGAAGAGAGGTTGTAAAGTGCAGTAGAAGCGAGTTCAAGACGAGAAGTAGCTGTACGAATGTTAGTTAAACTGTCTTGAATTGAAGAAGATTGAGTTCAAGATCTAATTGTTCTTTCACCATTTTAAGCTGTTCAATGCTCATCTTCTCCATCTCCGCCGCATGAACCACCGATTTTCCGCCCTTGTTCGCCATTGTTTTTCTCTCTCCTGATTTTTCAACAGTCTTAATTGTTCAACATATTTCGATCGCAAATCGCAAACCAGAAATTCTATCCTCCGTCGTCGTCGCCGCCCTCTCCTCCGCTTTCAAACAGAGCAAATCATGAATTTTGATTAATTAATGATTGTTTTAAATGCAATATAATTGATGTGATTTTTTGATCTGAAAAGCGGAGGAGAGAGAAAGAGAAGAAGGAAAGAGAAAGAGAAAGAGAAGAAGGAAAGAGAAAGAGAAGGAAAGAGGTGCCGCATGTCCGCACCCAATAGTTTGTGTTATTGAATAATCATAATCACAATATTTAGTGTTTAGAGTGTGGGAGTGTTTGTGCCAAAGGTCTTGTGTTAAAATTGTACATCTTTATCGTAATAACAATATTTAGTTACAATTGATATGAATATTTTATACAATACCCCAACTTCAATTAAACATTACAAGTTAAAAAGTGCACGCAATGCATGCACAAAGTCATAAGATGTTATAAAAAGAATATTTTTTTTGTTAGAAGATAAGTCTAATAAGTGAATGCCAATTATTGATTTGATTACACAATGTTCATATAGGTCCAAATACTTGTGAACTCATATGGCTCTATGTGAGTAATTATTGTATTATTAGTGTAACTCATGGCTATAAATACAATGCCATAGAAGTAAGAATATAATGATAACACTACAACAATTTCACCCATCTTCTTTCACTCTTTTACTCCTTTTATTAATCAAAACTTTTCTATCGGTAAATTCTTTAACACGTTATCAGCACCAGTTTTCAGTCAGGTATATTTATACCTACTTCTAAAAATTTATAACAAATAATACTATCTACTTCTAAATGTTTCGAGGAGTATGCTCTATAGTTGCCCATATTTGGGATCCTCTATAACAGAAACTCAAACATTTACTATATATACCTCAAAAACAACGGTGAAAGTTCTCTTACTTGTGAATTTACTACTATCATCTTTTGTTTATTCATGTTGATGTTTCTTTGTTTGATCCATGTTGATATTACATACTCATTTTACGTAAATTTTTATCTTAGTTATTATAATTGCTAAGTAGTAGCTTTGCATGCATATTATTATTAACTAGATTAACAAAAAGATGCAGCCTTTTATACTTATTATTTTTCTTACTTTTACATACTTTTTGTGTTTCTTTCCGTTTTCGAACCCATGATCTTTTATAGATATTAGGGCTCTCGGACCACTATGGCTTGCATTCCCAGTGTGATAACCTTTTACAATTATAAATATATATATATGGACCATAATTTTATGCCAGTACGTTAGATTATTATATGATATTTTTACAGTTGTACAGAACAGTAACGGATAAACCTACCTCTATAAAAGACGGATTTTTCCCCCAATTTCACCACAAATCCCTTATCCCTTCCCACTTTTTATCCAAAAATCACCTAAAAAAAATAAATTTCACCCCCTTCTTCTCCGATATGTTCCCCGACGACGGCAACCAAAACACCCACAACTTCACTTTTGAGGAAGATTTAATGAAGATAAAACAATATTTCCTTCTAATTACGGCGCTTGTAATTTTATTAGTAGCAATATTAATTTTTGTCATTATGTATAAGTAAAACTCACTTATTTTGTCGTTTTAGTATATTAAAAGCTTGTTTTTGTTTTATTATGTATGTTTGTTGTTATTAATCATCATTGTATAATATTACCGTTATCATTATAATTATTGTTACTACTGTCATTGTTGTCGTTTTGCTGTTTTTTTTTTGCAACTAACATGATTAATCTTTGTCTAATCATATAATTACTCACAATAATAAACCAAGGGGGAGAAAAGACTATATTATTTATGGTTTATTATTATTAAATTTAATTATCACGTGTCTTATTAACTTAATTATAAATATAGAAGAACTAAACATGTGAGTTGTACATATAATTTGTTATTATAAACTAATTATCACGAAATTTGTTGTAGCTAAAATGGGAGACCTTATGAAAAGACAGTTCAACATCTTAGATTTATCTGGAAAGAAATTTCTGGAATGGAAAGTGGACGCAATGATGAATTTGAAAGCTCAAGGCTTGGAGCACACTGTTAAAGAAAATAAAAGTCCCTCTGGTCAAACAACTGATACTACCACTTCTGCAATGACTGTTGCAAAACCTGTTACTGAACAAGATAAGGCAAAAGCCTTAGTATTGTTAAGGCATCATTTACATGAAGGCCTTAAAACTGAGTACATGATGGTTGAAGATCCCAAAGAATTATGGGATTGCCTTAATGAAAGATTTGGACACCACAAAAGGGTGCTCCTTCCTAAGGCATTATTTAACTGGACAAATTTACGGTTCCAGGATTTCAAATCTGTAATTGATTATAATTCAACCATACATGAGATAGTGTCTATATTGAGATACTGTGATCATCCAGTTTCGGATTAACAGATGATTGAAAAAACACTCACTACCTTTCATGCAAGTAACATACTGTTGCAAGAACAGTATCGTGAAAGAGGTTTTAAAAGGTTCAATGAATTAATGAGTGTATTGCTTGTTGCGGAACAAAATAGTGAACTTTTGTTGAAAAATCTTAACCTGAGACCAACTGGGTCTTTGGCCACTCATCATGAGGCAAATGCAACAAATTCCTATCCACCCGAGTCAAATGCTACAAGAAGAGGTGGACGTGGAAAATTACAATGGTCGTGGAAAAGGCCGTGGAAATTATCGCGGACGAGGCCGAGGACGTGGTAGAAATAATTTTCAAAGAAACAGTAATTTCAAAAATTTTGAAAAACAGAAGGGACAGTCATCTGGAAGCCACAAACAAACTCTTTCAAAAGGAAAAGACACATGTTACAGATGTGGCATGACAGGACATTGGGGACGTACTTGTCGTACGACCAAACATTTGGTAGACCTTTACCAGACTTCTGTAAAAGGCAAAGAGAAAAATGCAGAAGCAAATTATGTTAATGAAGAAAATGCTCCATGTCCTACCCTTGATGTGTCCGATTTCTTCATGGACAATGCTGAAACTGGGAATGATTTTATTCTTGGAGAAAACAACAATGCTTAGGTTCCCCATCTACTAATGTAACATATGCTATGTTTTAATGTATTTTCTTAGTTCCCTGTATTTTAAATTTCTAGTCATGTACTTTAAATCTTTATCATCAATAAAAGTTTGTATGATATTATTCTATACTAATCTTAAATTTATTTTATGAAGATATGGATCTACCTGAAGTTAGTTCCGAATATCAATGCCTTTTGGACAGTGGAACAACACATACTATCTTAAAAGATAGAAAATATTTTTCACAACTAAAGTTGTTTCAAGCAAATGTAAACACCATTTCCGGGTCAACTAAATTAATTGAAGGATCTGGAAAGGCTTGTATAATGCTTCCAAATGGAACAAAATTAATAATCAATAATGCTTTATATTCGAGTAAATCTCGAAGAAATCTCATAAGCTTTAAAGATGTACGCCAAAATGGCTATCATCTAGAAACAATGACGACAGATCAAAAAGAGTATATATGCCTCACGGCAGAAAAACATGGCAATAAACATATATATGAGAAATTGCCAGCATACTCTTCGGGGTTATACCGTATAAACATACGACCCGTGGAAATCAATATGATATCTAACCAGAAGTTAGATGACAAACATTTGATTATTTTATGGCATGATCGTTTGGGACATCCAGCAACTGGGATGATGCAAAGAATAATAGCACATTCAGTTGGACATTCAATAAGAAATGTCAAAATTCCCCGATCAGATGAATTAACATGCTCTGCATGTTCACTTGGCAAATTAATAATAAGGCCATCTATGAACAAAATTGCTACTGAATCTCCAAAATTCTTGGAAAGAATTCAGGGAGATATATGTGGGCCAATTAATCCAGCATGTGGACCATTTCGATATTTCATGGTTTTAATTGATGCCTCTACACGATGGTCACATGTTAGTCTACTTTCAAGTAGAAATGTTGCCTTAGCAAAATTACTTGCCCAAATCATCAAATTAAGAGCACAATTCCCAGATCATACAATAAAGAAAATTAGACTTGACAATGCTGGGGAATTTACATCCCAAACATTTAATGATTATTGTATGTCAATTGGAATTGATGTTGAACACCCAGTAGCTCATGTTCATACACAAAATGGTCTAGCTGAATCACTAATTAAGAGATTACAATTGATTGCAAGACCATTATTAATGAGGTCAAGATTGCCATCATCTGCTTGGGGACATGCTATAATACATGCAGCAGCGCTAATTAGATTGAGACCTACAGCTTATCATAAATTCTCACCACTACAACTTGTTTGTGGTCGAGAACCAAGTATCTCACATCTAAAAATCTTTGGTTGTGCTGTATATGTTCCCATTGCTCCACCCCAACGAACAAAAATGGGTCCACAAAGAAGGCTGGGAATTTATGTCGGGTTTGAATCCCCCTCTATAATTAAATACCTTGAACCATTGACTGGTGACTTATTTACGGCTAGATCTGCGGACTGTCACTTTAATGAAACAGTATTCCCAGCCTTAGGGGGAGAGAAAGTGGACCCACATAAGAAAGAAATTGAACTCATTTGGAATGCAACACAACTGTTTGGGGTAAAAATACCCTAAACACGTGGCCCAATGACCTAGTGACACGTGGCATCCAGCCGTTGGTCAGCAGGGCTCCAATCCTCTGCTGACACGTGTCCTCTAAACCCTAAAAGGGAAACCATCCCTTCCCCACTATAAATAGTGGAAGGACCCTCATTAATGGGGGGCTGGAACATTTGTTGTTCACATTGAATACTCCTCAAAAAGAAAAACACTTACCCCGAGCAATATTAATTGCAGAATTCTCCCATTACGCGAGAAGCAACTTCTACATTACGTGCATTCTACCTCCCGTATCTTTACTAACTTGATCGTCGGAGGCGGAGCTCCTACCCCCAGGAGTCTTCGTGATTTTGCAGGCACAGGCGTCGAAGGGCATTCTTGGAATTGTAACTCTCCCGCAGGACACATCAAAAAACCCCGAAACATCTGGCGCCGTCTGTGGGGAGAGTACTTCTAAGATGACTTCTGATACTGTGTCACCGAATCAGGGCAAACGGCCTGTGGTCGAGCCTGAGGTCCAGACGGACCATGAAAGTGGAGACGAAATTGAAACATATGTGGCCCCGGATGGGTCTTTCAGAACGAAGCACCCTCGTGCTAAAGATAGAAGAGAACGGGAAATCAGCCAAGCTGCTCCCAGCAACCCAGCCGGGCAACCGGCTGGAATTGCCCAAACGGTGGAGGGCTCAGCCCCCGTTACAAGAAACGAACTCATGTCTTTCATGAATAGTTTCAAGGGTGAGATCAAGAGCCTCATCCGACCGACCAAGAAGCCTTCTGGAAAGAAGGCGGTCAAAGAACGAGTTCCTACCCCTCATCCCAAGCCAAAGGAGGGGGAGGGCTTAAGGTTTGATCCAAGCAGACTCCGTTTTCCTCAAGGGGAGCTGCGAAAGGCCATCCGGCACGTACAGCCGGATGGCTCCAAGAAAACATTCTCAGACGACCGCACATTTCTCCAAGAGAAGCGAGGTCAGGCGTCTGCGTCGGCCTCAACGTCGACCTTCCCGGACAGTTTCCATGACGTCTCACACAGGCGTACGGGAACGAACCTTGGGAGCCAGACGGGCGAAGCTTCTGCCCGGTCTGGACCCAAAGTGATCCAGCCTGGCCTATTCGGCACACCGAATGGGTTGGGTGGATCCCCTTTTATGTCACCGGGTCTTTTCGGTGGGCAAGCGCAGCAGCCGTTCCAACCCACGGACTGGCAGCTGCGCCTGCTAAATTTGGGGGAACAACCAACGGCGTTCTCACCAGAGATAACCCAGGCGGCACAGCCGCCTAAGATCAAGAATGTTTTGGTGGGGGCCTATGACGACACCACCAACCCAGAAGACCATCTAATGGCCTACTCTAACCTCATGTACCTCCAGGGGTTAGATGATGCCGTCTGGTGTCGATGCTTCCCGGCTACCCTCAAGGGCATAGCCCAGCGGTGGTTTGGTAACCTACCAGCCGGTTGCATCAACAGCTTTCGAACTTTGGCGTACTTGTTTACGTCAAATTTCTCAATGAATATTCCTGCCAAAAAGACTAGCCTCGACCTAGGGGCAATACAGCAGGGCGACCGGGAGGGCCTCCGGTCATACGTCAGACGGTTCAATCTGATGAGAATTCAGATTCCAGGACTATCAGACGAAGTGGCCTATACAGACTTCTTTCGAGGTCTGAAGGATGGGTCGACCTTTAAGTTTGACCTCGTCCGGAAGAGGGTTGCTACCCTCCAAGAGGCGTTAATTGAAGCTGAAGCCTATATACAGGCGACGGAGCTTTGTGCTGTCAAGCAGCCGTCAGATTATAAAAAGTCTGACAAAAAAGAGAGCCGGCAACAGCATCAGCCGGCAAGAAAGGAAGAAAAGAGAAAAGGGGTCTGGGCAGCTGACCGATCAGGACAGCCGGCCCAGAAGATCAGGCGGAAGTCAGAATCGTATGCTCCCAAATACGAGTTCGCAAAAGATTGCTCCACCATCCTCCTGGAAATCAAAGACCGGATGTCTCTCGACAAACCGGCTGAAATGAAAAGCCCCGTGAATAAACGGGACAAGAGCAAGTATTGCCAATACCACGAGGATGTCGGCCACGACACCGATGGCTGCTATAGCCTCAGGCGGCTATTGGACCGTCTGGCAGATGAGGGGGCCCTAAAATCCTACCTACCCAAGGCTAAGGGTAATACCCAGGCCAAGAAAGGGCAGGCGGCAAAAACCGGCCCAGCAAACTCCGAGACGGATGAAGAGACCATCTTCACAATAGCAGGCGGTTTTGCCGGAGGGGGTCCTACCATCCGGGGCACCAAAGACAACATCAGGAAGCTGGTCAACTCAGTGGATGAGGGCCAGGCGTCGAAAGACATCTTTCCTGAGGTCCTTATTTCTGAAAAGGACCGGGGCAAGGTCAGGCGGCCTCATGATGACCCCATCGTCATCGAATGCAAGGTTGCCAACCAGAAGGTTGGCCGAATCCTAATAGACACCGGGAGCTCGTCTGACCTAATCAGTTATCAGTGCTTGACCAAGCTCAAGTACACATCCGGTAACATGCACCAGGCTCCTCACCCACTAGTCGGTTTTGGGGGTGGAGTAGTGCATCCGGTCGGAAGCATAGATCTTCCGATCCGGTTGTGGAGGAGTTGTCCGCCTACAACATGATATTTGGCCGTCCTACCCTCAACGCATCTAAGGCTGTCATCATCCCGTCCCTCATGTTGGTCAAATTTCAAAAGGATGATGGTACAGTCGGTGCCCTAAGCGGGGACCAGAAGACGGCAAGAGAGTGCTATCTCTCTGACGTCAAGACAACTATGGGTGCAGCCGGCCAGGGCGAGCCCATAGATATTGATAACTGCGACCCAGCAGTCCCGGCTCCAAGGGCAGCCGGTATGAAAAGAAAGGCGGACCAACTGTCACCCGTCAAAAAGGAGAAATAGCAATCACTACCGGGGAAAGGTCAGATGACCAACGACCTCAGCCGGCTGGTGACTGCCTTGATGTCATCCTAGATGACAGCCGTCCTGAAAGAACAGTCAAGGTCGGGACGGTAGCCTTCGAACGGTTGGGAAGTCATTGAAAAACGAAGTATTCAGAATGATCCCATTGGAGTCTTGGACAGAACTGCTACCTGGATGGATCCCATCCGGTCCTTTTTGACGGATGGTACCTTGCCGGATGACCCTTCAGAAGCATCAGCGCTCAAGAAGCGTGCTTCAAGTTTTGTTATGCATCAAGGGGAACTCCTCCGGAAGGGATACCTGCAGCCGTTTTTGAAATGTGTAACCCCGGATAGGGGGAGAGAAGTTTTGGAAGATCTGCACGCGGGGTTTTGTGCCTCGCATATTGGCGGCAGGTCCCTGGCCAGAAGAACCAGACGGCAAGGGTACTTCTGGCCCACTCTTGAAGCGGATGCCATGGATCTAGTAAAGAGATGCGACAAGTGCCAAAA